GTACAGTTTTGGGCTCCCTTCCTCAGGAAGGACATTGAGTTGTTGGAGAAGGTTCAGAGAAGAGCCACTAGGTGATTGTGCAATTGTCGTATGGGGAGAGAATAAAATCTCTTAACTTGTTTTCTTTGGAGAGGAGTCAGAGGAGATTTGACTGAGATGTTTAAGATTAATAAGGGTATTGATAACATAGATCTATCAAACTGATTGGTGAGCTTTAAATTAATATTCATGTCACAGTGGTGAGCTTTAAATTAATATTCATGTCACAGTGGTGAGCTTTAAATTAATATTCAGATTTGTATCACATTCCAGCTGTGTGCTACAAAATATGGGCGAACTTTTCTAAGAGATAAACAGACGTATATTATAATGCGGGAGTTACACAAATGGGAGAAGTCTTATCCTGTATTGTTTGCATGTGAAAACCTTGTGGATATTTTGATTGGTGATGATCCTGAACCTGGGATGGAAAACCTTAAAAATGTGGAAATACCTTCTGACCTTACTGAAAAGTTTGAAAAAGAAGACCAACAGCTTTTAAGTACAGAGTGAAATAAAACACCTCACACACATTACTGTGTTTATACTTACTATTTTAGTAATAAAAGTTCAAAACCTCAGAACATGCAAAATATCTCTATACATCAGGATATCTTTAATTAAAAGTTTTGATCAACTTTCATGTTATTTACAATATTTCAATTTAAGTAAAATACAAAATATTTTATACTTTAAAAAATGACTGTACTTACTTTTGATGTGCATTTTTTCTTTATTTTTTGACTTTCAAAATAGATATATATATACAAACTCATGTTTGTATACTTCTACAGCAGATAAAAGTTTTGAGATGGCTGTGTTCCTTGTTATCAAGTTTCTTCAGCAGATATTTATAGGATACATCATGAGCTACATATTGTAGAATCATTAATCTCTTTATGAGGCTGAATAATTATAAACATTTTAAAATTACAAGAAAAATACATAACCATATGAAAGTTATATTTAAGGGTTACTGTCTTGTATAAAAATTATTCCATGGTTTATGCTTAATACAAACGAATTGTATGTTTGATCATTTTTTGCATAATTAAAAAAAAACAGCAGGTTTGACTTTAAGTTAATAAAATTCACTTGCAGTAGTAATTTGCTATAAGTACAGAAAGTTGTAGAAGTGATATGCTTAGAACTGAGAAATGCAAATAAAATTTTTTTATTGCTATATTAAGTTAAATTCAATAGAGTATTTGTGAAGGCCCAGATGATAAGACAGTAAGTTTTCAAGTTTAGAAACATCCTATCTAGCCCTCACAAAGAAATTACTTCCATTCTCTTTCAAAATGGCTACCCTATGCATTTCTTGGAGAAAATAACTTCTTAACTAATTTGTTTGTCAAACCACCTAAGATACCCACTGTACCCAAACTTCCCTTATACACCTGCTTACCATATCTCTGGAGACAGAGCTCCCTTATCACGAAAATATATGACCTAATTTTATATATCGCAAATTATTGTTGTTAAATACAGTGCAGTTTGTGGTAATTTTGAATGGGGGAGCTCCTAACAAGCAGCACCATCTGGAGAAAAACTAAGACTGAAAATAGTGAAAATGAAGCATGAGCTGAACACATTTTATATAAGTGATAAAAATATCAATTGATTTTAATATTTATATTTCAACAAAAGCTGTGAATGATATGTCTCTGTAAACCGTTTTTATAAGTTAAAAACATTTTATCAATTATTACTGTTTTATAATTTGAAAAATTTCATACCTTAATAAAAGCCCACAAAAATAATTCCTATTTTTCAAATTTCATTTTCTACAAAATATTTTCAATATACATTGTTCGTTTAATTTAGTACAACTTAAGAAAAGAATCTGTATTCTAAATAACATATTTTTTGCTCTGTGATCATGTTCATTTTGAAAGTAAACTGATCCATAGCTACACTACACACTTGCACTGATTTTAAGGAGAGAACAAAAAGTAGCCATGGGCAACACACACACTAGTGAAAGTGAGACAGTACAGTCTGATGTGGTGCAACAATAAGAATTTCAGTGCCTGCATACTGTTCTGGCAAATCAATTCATCAAGGTCATTTTATGTTTCAACTTATCATAATAGGTTTTACTGATATTTTAAGGTGTTGAGTTACATTGTTGTAAAAAATATATATACAGCGCTTCACACCACTGTCAGGTGTGATATATGCACATGAATTAGGTACTACTTTTGAAACCATTAAAACCTAGAAAATGTTTTCAAATCAAACCTAAAATATACTTATTTTTTGTATTAACTGTAGAAGCTGTCAGTATTAAAATGTGTATATTCAAATATTGGTCTACATAAACTAACAGTGTTGATTTGTATAAAACATGAGTGGGTGGATAGGGGAGAGGAGTTTCTTTCACCCCTGGCAACAAAATAATTTTCTCTTCTTCTCAGAGGCCTTTAAGCCAATCCATTTTCTTTCTTTATTGCTCACTCAAAAAACATTCTGTTCATTTCTACAGTTTAAAAAATCAAAATATTAGGGTTTTTGACATTCTAATGGTTCAATTAATTGTTTTGTTTTAGAATGAAACTTCAAGTGTTGCAACAGGTAGTGGACGTAATGTTTTATTTTTTCCTCATTTATTTTCACAAACACAGCAAGTACAGTTAAACTATAAACAATGAGCTAACTAAAGCTCAGATCGATATTCAAAATGACCTGATCTCTGAAAAACATGTTTAGATATTTAGTATAGTAGTATATTAAAGGTGATCATCAGGTTGGACTATTAAATTGAAAGGTGGAGTAAGTAAACTAAATGGAGTGTATATAAATTCTAAGAACATACGAGTGAAAATAAGGAAAAATATTTAATTGTGCGTCAACCACATTATATTTGCTATATCCTGTGCCAACGAGGCTTTTCGTCCAGTGAATGAGATGCTATTTATACTACCACATTACATGAACAACTACACTGTTATGGTACAAATTATGCTGGATAAAAGATTAACACATGGACAAAACTTCACCAGTAAGTCATAACTCTTCCTCTAATCAAAGAACTGCTCTCCTCAAAGATCAATAATATGTTCTTAGTCAGACACATTCGGGTAAATGTTTGTGCGGGTGCATGTTCTGCACGTAGTACGATATTCCTGTCAACTGGATGTAGAAAGGTCATAAACACATATTAATCCTGTAACTCAGGCAAAGATTGAATATACGCCAATGATTAGAAACCCATCTCAAGGTGTCGTTCATTTATTTGTACAACTTTATATGAGTTAGGATTTTTTTTCTTCTACAAATGTTATTTGTATTAGTCGGTGACATATATAGCATTGGATTCTGGTATACTGCACCTATAAAAGTTTGTCCAATTTCTCTGCAGTATATTAGGATTTCTCTTGTCTTTGTTCTGTCTGAGCACGTCTTAGAATAACTTCACCTGAACCCCAACAACCCTTTAATGTTTCATCAGGACTTTAAGCCAATCAGCAAATGTAAAAACTTGAACTTCTACTGAATACAAATTTTGTTTTAAATTTTTCTCTTATGTGTTTGTTTTTTTTTTTGTTTTTTCATTTGCTGCCCATGTTTGATTTATGGTCTTTATAAAATTTCTAAAAGCTGTGTTTGAGGGAACTTTTGAAGTTATCTATTTGTTATCAGTGGGCCTGACCACCACAGAAATAACAGGCAGTTTATAGATAAAAACTATGAAAACCAGTTTCTTGAATACACTGTAGAACAATTAATGCTTTTCTTTAGGCAAATATTCACAGACCATAAGTGAAGAAAATGTACTTGGCTTCCTCTAGCTAACCAAAAGAATGAATCCAAAATCTAGTTTCAACTTAAGTTCTTATAAATTCATATTCTACGGCCAATCTACTGTGACATGAATATTAATTTAAAGCTCACTACTGTGACATGAATATTAATTTAAAGCTCACTACTGTGACATGAATATTAATTTAAAGCTCATCACTGTAACATGAATATTAATTTAAAGCTCACCACTGTGACATGAATATTAATTTAAAGCTCACCACTGTGACATGAATATTAATTTAAAGCTCATCACTGTGACATGAATAT